GGGGTGTGGAAGAACTGGTATGTAAGGCTGCTGCTTGCCTCTGATGTGGCCCTGTCTGAGCAAGCTGCTGTTAGACACTTGGGCAATCTCAAGTGATAGAGAATAATGCGTGTGGTGCAGAAATAACAGCCAGTAATTTTAAACACAGACTAACATCGTATGTTGGTATCAAATTAAATAATAGGTCGTTTGACCTCTCCTTCAGGCTTTGCCTGATCCCAATAGGTGTCGGAGCTCCTTTCTTAGACCCAATTTACAAAGCGCTCCTTTCATAGTGGTACCATGAGGATGACAGGGTCACAAAACCCGCAGAAGCTCTCAGATCCCACCGTGTGCGTGGGAAATCTAGATGAATTTTCTTTCCTAGTCCTGGGCAACGTGTCCTCGCTGGGCAATGCTCTTGCCAGCAGACCAGAGGGATTGGCAGGCACATGTGGGGGTGGCGGGGGCATCTCTGCAGCCCCTGGGCTCTGCCCCCCGCAGCTCCCAACATAGAAGTACAGAAATAACCCCCCTGGCTGCCAGAGCTCCCTCCATGCTGGTGGACCATGGGGCCCCTGAGGGACTTTCAGTGTTGATGGGTGAGGAGTCAGTTGCTATGGCAACAGATTTTTTTTTTCTTTTGATGGAATTGGATTTTTTTTTTCTTGTTTATTTCCACTTAGGAAAAGTGAAGCAATTAGGATAGAGAACGAATATAAACTTTCCTCTTTTTTTTCCAAGAGGAAGCCCAGGCAGGATGCAGAATCGTGTAGCACAGATGCAGGTGTGTGCCAGGGGCAGCTGGTGACTCCTTGATCTCGTATCCCCAAACTCAATTATTCATCTACCTTCCCTTAGAACAACCGTACACTTTGTAAGACAAAACCAGACACACAGACTAACCCAAATAATTCACCCAGCTTTTTTGCGTTACATTTTCAAGTCTGACCAAAAGGGGACACAGACCTGAACTCAGAGAGAGGGCTGAGGTTTACTATTTGCAGACCTAGTTTGCTTTTCAGCCGATGGGATTATCTATATTATCTTTTTAATGGGAATATCGAAAAGCTGAGTCAGCCATATCATAGCTATTAAGATGCTAAAACTTCTTCCTCCTTAAGGCTTGCTTACCCCTACTCTAGGCAGTCAGATGAATATGAGTTGTTTGTTCTGGCAGAGGGACAGACAGTCTGTTTTCCCTTACATGTATACAACTAATTTCAAGTCGCTAATGTTCTAGCTGGTGATAAAAGAGCTATCTAAAGCTTTTCTCAGAACACAGTGACACTGTTAAATCAGCACAGTATTTTGATTAGCAGAAAGTTGAGATTTATGCAGCTTAATGATAAAAAGGAGCAAAATCCCTTCTGTACTTAAAACTCCAATTTTGAAGCAAATAGGTGGCCGTATTTTTTCTGTAAGTCACAAGTTTTCACCTTACTCCTGGTTCAAGGCTATTTAGTGTCAGCAATAACCTGCACTGAAGAAGTGAAGATGAAAAATTGCTTTCATGCCTTATTGCTCATCCGGTTAGACCTTCTCCTGTGGGTGCGGAACAAGCAGCTGTGGGGTCACAGCCTGTGGGCTTGGTGACTTGAAGGATGCGCAGTCTGTGATACCTCTTATTTCAGGAGCTTCGAGGCTCTTCCTTGGGAGCATGTTCCTTTTGTAGCATTCTTGCTCTTGAAAGCAGGGGCATGTGTTTTGGCTGCTCTGTCCTTAGAGATAGTAATGGGCTTTGGAGGTTCTTCTGCGGCTTATGCATCCCCTTGCACGTACATGTCCCTCATCTCATCTTTCCCC